GACCCCTTGACAGCCCATTCCAGATCAACTGCCCACATGGACATGTGCACTGTGAAGCACAGTGACGTCACCTGCCTGGAATATTTCAGCAGAGGACAGCCATCCTCAACCTGTCCCAGCCCACCCCAAAATGCCCTGAGGGGCACTGACCTCACACTTAACTCAAACCTGGGGTTGCCTTCCTGACTCTGGGTTGGGGGTTGCCAAATCAGCTGGGACTGGTTCCCCTAGACCTAGAGACACACCCTTGCACCCCGGAAGTCTGGCAGAGCCAGGAACCTGGGCTGAAAGCCAAGACTCCTGAATTCTTTTATCTTCTCTTATGCCTCACTTTTCCTTTTATTCTATGCAACATCAGGTGCCCTAAACCAGTATTTCTCCAAGACCTAGATTCCTGGATCTTAGCAGCAAGAAAGCTATTCTTTCAGTCCTGCTACTACATGGGAAGTTTCAGCTCCCTGGCTGCAATCCTACTGATCTGAGAATTTGTGACCTGTTTCTCCTTTTGTTTCTATTTCGTTTTTTAAAGATTTTATTTATTTCTTTTTCGAGAAAGGGGAAGGGAAGAAAGAGAGGGAGAGAAGCATCCATGTGTGAGAGATACATCGATCAGTTGCCTCTCACATGCCCCCAAGTGGGGACCTGGCCCGCAACCCAGACATGTGCCCTAGATGAGAATCAAACCATCAACCTTTCAGTTCACAGGCTGGTGCTCAGTTCACTGAGCCACACCAGCCAGGACTTATTTCTGTTTAAAGTCAATGTGTCAATGTATAGCACTAGCTTTCCTCTCCTCATGATGATACCAAGTTTCCCTGTAAAACTTAAACTGGCAAAACAGTAAGACACGAGACAGGTGGAGGAAGATGTAATCAGGTGGAGAATAGAGTGTCCAGAGGTTGGAGTGTGGGCCATGCCATGTTTTAGAGACTGTTCGTGTACGTCAGGATTGCACCCCAAACATTTTGTCCAAATTGGGCCACGAAACATTCAGATGAACTTGGATAGTGGGTCACTTTATGAGACTTCAGAAGTGTCCTTGTTGCCAGGCCAAGAAAAGGTGGGGATCTCTAGATGGAAGGAGATGACATCTGATTCCTGGGGCTGCTGGTACAAATTATAACAAACTTGGTACCTTAAACAACAGAAATTTATTGTCTCCCAGTTCCATAGGACAGAAATCTAAACTCAAGGTGTGGACAGGGCTGCACTTCTTCCAAAGGCTCCGAGGGAGGGCCCTTCCTGCCTCTTTCAGCTTCTGGAGGCTCCAGGGGTCCCTGGGTTTGTGGCCGCACCCTTCTAGGCTCTACCTCTGTTGTCACTTGTCTTCTCCCTGTGTGTCTGTTAAATCTCCCTCTGTCTCTCTCACATAAGGGTACTTGTGACTGCTTTTAGTGCCCACTAGAATAATCTCCTCATCCAAACATCTTAATTGCATCTGTCAAAACTCTTGATGCAAATAAGGTAAAATTCACAAGCTCCAGGTTTTAGAATGTGGAATATTTTGGGGGGCCATTATTCAGCTGATTCCAGAGACTAAAGGAAAACCAAATGCCCTTTGTGGTTTGGGGTCAGGAAAAGAGGTATCCAAGGACACCATAAGGACACTGGGGGAAATCTGAGCATGGATGGTGGATTAGATTGCAGCTGGGTTACGACAAAGGACCATGCCTTTAGGAGACGCATCTGATGTGCTTACAGGGGAAGCAGCACCATCCCTGTGGCTTGCTCTCAAATATCCACTTATTGCACATAAAAGCATTACACGTGTGTATTTTTTGAGGTGTAATGCAAGCAGTGGACACATCAAGAATACAGCTCAATTCATTTTGACAAATTGAACACACAGGTGTTCCAATGAAAACCCAGCTGCCAAAATCCCCCCAAGCCCAACTCTGTCACTGCTTCCAAGGGTGGCACCCCCACCCTGATGCCTCCCACCATATGTTGGTTTCCCTGTTTTAGAATGTCACAGAAATAGATCTGTTTCGTGTCTGGCTGCTTACTCAATATGATGTCCGAGAGTCATCAGTGTTGTGTGTTTTAGGAGGTTATTCTTTTTCGAGACTACATAGTATTCCCTTGTGTGCATTTGCTGCAGAGTATGACCCATTCTACTGCTGATGGAAGGCAAGAAAAAGATCTGTATTTGGGGACTCCAGGCACAGGGCATTCATTGTGCTTTACCCACTAAGATGGCTATAATCCAACTGACAACCACCAGTGCAGGTGAGGATATGGAGTCACTGAAACCCTCATGCACGGTGGATGGGAGTATAAAATGGTGCAGGTGCTGTGGAAAACAGTTTGGATGTTCTTCAAAAAGCTAACTGTAGAATAATCATATGATCCAGGAATTCTACTCCTAGGTATATACATGAAAGAAATAAAAACATGTGTCTATGCCAACACCTGTACACCATGTCCTCAACAACATGATATACAACAGCCAAAAGGTAAAAATGACCAAGTGCCTATTAACGGGTCAATGGATAAACACAATGTGCCACATCCACGCACTGGAATATCCCTCAGCCATGAAAGGGGCGAGGCACTGGCACGTACTACAACATGGGTGGACCTTGAAAGCACGATGCTCAGTTAGAGAAGCCAGACACCAAAGACCACACAGTGTGTTATTCTATGTATGTGACATGTCCAGGACAGGCAAATCCACAGGCAGGAGGTAGGTTAGTGGGTGACAGGGGCTGAGGGAGCGGGTAGGGACTGGATGCTAATGAGGAAGGGATTTTGTTTGGGGGTGATGGAATATTCTGAAACTAGACAGGGGTGGTGAAAAACTGCATGTACTGAAAACACCGTGTGGCGTGTGAATTCTATTTCTTTTTTTTTTTTTAATTAATTTCAACAAAGCTTTTATTAAACTCCAACAACACCTGGGGCAGGATCAGCTTCCCAGACGTGGGTCCTATCCATTGCACAGGGTGCCCAAAATTACCCTCCTGGGGTTGGGGGGCGGGATGAAAACCCTCTAGGAAGGGAAGGCCAAGTTTCTGGCTGGCTGGCAAGTGGAACGTTATTCCAAGTCTGTATGCTATACCTCTGCCCAGCAAGGCCGTAGAGTATCTTATTCCATCCTTCCAGCCTTCCCTTTCCTGGCCCATTTTCTTTTTCTTATTTTATTTTAGAGAGGGGGAAGAGAGGGAGAAAGAGAGAGAAACATCGATGTGAGAGAAAAGCACCAACTGGTCGCCATCTGTAACCACCTCCAACAAAGGACAGAGTACAAAGCCCACAGCCCAGGCATGTGCCCTGACTGGGGATGGAACCAGCAACCTCTCTGTCTGTGGGACTATGCCCAACCAACTGAGCTACACCAGCCATTTCCTGGCCCATTTTCCAGAGAAGGAACTGAGGCTTGGGGAGGTGATGAACACACAGAAGTCCCTCAGATATTGGCCTTGGGGCCCCTAGTAAGGTGAGATAGGCTGGGCTGGACCCTGGCCATAGAGGCACCTTAACCCCATCTCATGCCTGGGGTCCTGGGGCTTGGAAATTTGCCACAGCTCCTGAATGGCCCTCCTGAGTCCAGGAAGAAGGATCGAGAATCTCCAGAGCTACCAGGAAGGCAAGCCAGCTTTCAGTTGGACCAGTTATCCCTCCAATGTTCCATTAGGACAGGCTTGTCATGTTTTCTTCACCCTGGTGCCATTTAAAGGTGTCACCTGGGGCTGTGGCTGTAGGACTGGGCTGATGGGAGCAGAAGGTCAGGGATTGGAACCCTGGGATGTGTTCTGTGTGGGTCCATGGGGAAGTTGCTGTCCCTCCCAGACCTCAGTTTCCCCACCTATCAATGGTGCCTCTTGGCTCTGAGTCTGTGAGGTTCACTGTACTCACCATTAAGGGCCCACGGCATGGAGTGGCTCCCAGTGAGGCTCAGATGTGGCTGTAAATGATGAGGAGGTGTGCTTATAAACAGGGCCACCCCACTCCTAATGCTTAGGACAGCAGTTCCAGATGCTGGGAATGGAGTGCGGCCTCGGTCACCCCGCTGGCCACAGACATGCCCAGGAGTCCATCCTCCCATCATCTGTCTTTCCACCCACCCACGACACTCCATCCACCCACCTGCCCAAATGCCTGTGTGCACACTGTCCCCCAAATGTTTGTCTGTGCTTGCCCATCCCCATGCCCATCCCTCAGCGAAGCCTCCTGCCCAGAGACCTGGCTCTCAGGAAGCTCCAGTTTGGAGGACAGACAAGTTCCACCTGGGCATGCCCAATCCAGGGCCTGGCCAGTGCAGACAACACTCAGGCCAGGAATTCCAACCCAGCCTCTGACCCCTGAGTAGCTCTTTTCCCCTTCCTCTCTGTCCGACTATCCTCTATCTCGCCCTGTCTCTCTCTGTATCTTTCTCTGCCTCTCTTAGCCATCTCTCCCTGTGTCTCATAATCTCCATTTCTCCAGCTTAGTCTGTTTCTCTTTGAAGCTCTCTCTCAGCCTCTCTTTGTGTCTCGCAGTATCTGTATTTCTGTCTCTTTCCATGTCTCTCAATCCTTTCTCGTCCTCAATCTCACAGTCTCTGTCTCTCAAGTCTCTTTGTCAATGTCCCTCAGTCTGTCTCTAACCCTGTCTCTGTCTTTATCTCTGTGTCTGTCTTTGTTTCTGTCTCTGTTTCTGCGTCTGACTCCCATCTCTCTCTCTGTCTCTGCCTCTGCCTCCCTCCAACTCTGTGGCCCGCCTCTCTCACTATTACACCCCGCAGCCCCTGCAGGCCAACCCGGTGACTCAGACAGGCACCACCGTTCCCACAGAGCAATACAAACACATTCTGAAGCCCAGCGGGTCACCCCTGCCCCGCGCCCACCCTGTTCTGGCCCCATCCGGTTGCCCTGCCCCTGAGTTGACGTCCCCAACACCGAGGCTTCCTATTGGCCCGTGCGGGAAGGTTCCATTCGGGCGCTCCGCCCCCAACTCAGCATTGGCAGACACGATTACTTGCTCTAAGAGGCATGAGCGGGCAGCGAGTGGGCGACGAAGCCATGCGCAGCTGCCTGTGGCTGGGCCTGGCATGGCCGCTGCAAGCACGAGCTCCTGGCGCTGCGGGGACCCCAAGCGGGCTGTGGAGGCCACGCAGCTATGGACACCTAGAGGGCGACGTGTGCTGGCGACGCCTCCTCTCCTCCACCCATTTTTTTCTGCGCGTGGACCCCAGTGGCCTCCTGCAAGGTACCCGCTGGTACCACAGCCCTGGCAGTGAGTCGCGGGGGGCTGCCAGGTGGGGTGACGGGGTTGAGAAGAAGGGAGGTTCTGGCAATAACAACTGCAGCAGTAATCTTAACGATGAGCTGGGTCCTCTTTCAGCGACGGAGTGTCCCAGGGCCTCCTGTGATTGTATGGCCAAGTCATTTTCCTCAACTGTAAAATGGACCAAAGCAAATGTTCACAGAGGAAGCTCCCAGCTCCAGGACTGGCTCAGTAGGAGAGAAGAGTCTTTGCAAAATCGTTGAGTTTGAGGTCACTAGGACCATTCACAGAGGGGAAACTGAGACTCCAGGAAGTTATATAATGCGATGGGGCTAAGCTGGACTCAGAACTCCCACAGCGCAAAACAAAACTCAGGATCTGCCTGGTTGGGGACCCCTGTATTTCTTCCTACGAAACTTCCTATGAAGAGAGGGGAAATGACCTGTCCAGGGTCACACTGCCAGGGGTTGGTGTTGCTAGGGCTCCTTGATGCCCAAGAACCTCATCGAGTTGGAGTCACTGTCCCTGCTGCCCCATCCAGTAAACAACAGGCACTCAATAAGTATTTGTGGAATGCATGAAGCAAGAGGAGATGCAGGGGCCAAGAGAAGCTGAGAACCCTTGGGAGGCCAGGATGGTTGGTGACCCCATGGGCCTGCCTCAGTCTCCTCACAACTCTGAGGTCTGGGCAGGAGGAGCTAGGTGATGGAGCTGACTACTGGCCACTGCCTGAACCACCACCATTGGTGCAGATAATCACCCCTGCCTTCCTAGCTGCTTCTATCCAGGGATCCCAAGGCCCTCATTAGGTTCACCAGACCAAGACCACGGCAGGGATCTGGCTGGGCCGGTTGACTGATGGTGTCCACGGCCAGGCAGGGTGGCCTCAGGCTGGGGGTGAGGCCTGGCTCTGCTGGGTGACCTGATAGTTGCTGCTTTTCTCTGAGCCTTAGTTTCCCTATCTGGGCAGTGATGGGGTGACATGATGAACGGCTTTGTGTGGGTTGGGCTTGGAGATCTTGTATCCTTCATTAATTCAGTGGTTATTAAATGGGCACCTTGCCCTGGCTGTTACGGCTCAGTGGATTGAGCATCGGCCTGCAAACCAAAAGGTCACCAGTTCAATTCCCAGTCAGGGCACATGCCTGGGTTGTGGACCAGGTCCCCATTTGGGGGCATGCAAGGGGCAACCATGCATCTCTCACACATTGAAGTTTCTCTCTCTTTATCCCTCCCCTCCCCTCTCTCAAAAAATGTAAATAAATAAAATCTTTAAAAAATAAAAATAACAAAAATAAATGGGTACTTCTTGTATGCTGTGCTGGGCACCAGGAGAGCTCACCCTCATGGGGTTACAGAGCAAAGGGAAAAACAGTTAAGTACATGAATAAGTAATATAATTTCAGAGAGGACCACATGGGGTACAGAGAGAATGACAACAAGGCAATGTACAAGATGTGACGGGGGGTGGTCTCTCCAAGGAGACAGGCTTGAGTTGAGCCTCATCAAGAGAAGGAGCTGACCACACACAAGAGGAGCCAGGGGCCTGGCTGAGGAAGCAGCAGGTGCAAGGCACTATGGGGATGGGGTGAGCTCCCTGTTGTCTCAGGCATCCAAGTCCAGACTGAAGACCAAAGGGCACAGCCTTGACTCGATTAGACCTCAGTGCACGGGTGGGGCTGAGGGTATGGGTGGTGGTTTGTCCCAAAGTCCTGCTTTGCTGGACAGGAAACACTGGCTCAAAGCCAGGCAGAAATCACCCAGGGTCACCTACAGGTGGATGGATGGGGCCTGACGCTGGCTCTGCTCCTTTCCAGACCTCAGTTTCTGTCTCTGGGAAGTGGGCACAGTCAGCACCTCTCATCCATAGCTGTTGTGTGGGCTTGGTGGGGTACAGTGCTTGGCATACAGTTGGCACTCAAGCAGTGTTAGCAGCTATCAAGTTGAATGCACTTTGCTATAAATACCCCATGTCCCACCCCAGACCTTTGCCTGGGCAGTGCCTCCCTTCGGGAGTTTCATCTCAGCAGAATCATGCAGCTGCAGCTGGCTGCACTGTCAGGGCCAGACATGGCAAAGGCAGTGAGAACCCAGGGAAGCCCCACAGCTGCTCCGTCAGGGCCACATCCTTGGGACAGCTCCTGACAGCCTGTGTGGTCCCCAGTATGTCCCCACACCCAGCAGAGCCTGACACACAGGTGGTGCCTGGTGTTGAATGAATGAACAAATGAATGAATGGGAGCACATGGGGAGATGATGGCTGAGGGCCCTGACTGAGCCCCTCCCAGCAGGCACTATTGAGATCTGCTCCATCTGCATGGGCATCGAGGTGCTCAAGGCTGCGCACATCAGCTTCTCCATGACCATAAACCACTGGGTCCACCTCTACCGGTGCATGGTGGGGGTGGAAGGCGGTGGGCAGACACTGGCAGGAAATGGGGCTCTAGCGGTCACTTCACATGCCCGGCCCCTGCAATGGGTCTGCACTGCCCACGGCAGGTTCCAGGAGCCCATTGAGGAGGACAGCTACAACACCTATGCTTCACTTTGCTGGTGTCACCATGGCACTGGACAAGCAGGGTGCACCACAATGCAGTGGCCAGACCAGGTGGCACCACTATCCACCCACTTCCTGCCTATCATGGTCCCTGAGGCCCTGAGGGGCTGTGAAGACTGGCTAGATGAGATTCCAGAAGACACCTGGGCAGGTGGCTGGGGACCAGAGGCTGGAGGCCACCCAGGCTGTGGCCAAGCCATGACGCCTGGTCACTCATTCATTTCACAAGCATTGAGTGCCTGCTGTGTGCAGGGCTCTGGGGAACCTGCAAGAAACCCCACAGAAGTGGCCCGGCCCTCATTTGAGTCTGACAGGGGGGTGGACACTCACCTGGGCAGGGGCTGGAGGTGTCCAGTCACGAGCTGGGTAGTGAAGAGTCCCCAGCAATGCACCTCCTGGCGTAGAAACAGGATTCAGCTGTGTGGTCACCAGAAGGCCTGAGAAGGGCACCCCAGGCTGGGACACAGCCTGTCAGAGGCTCAGCAGTGGGAACCCATTGGAGTGTTGAGGCAGCAAGGAGTGGGGGAACCAGGGGTAGCGAGGGGGGCCAGAGAGAGGGCAACATGGACATGCTATGGGGTGACAGGTCCTGATGATGTGACAAGGCACAGGGACTCTGCAGGTAGGATTAAGTCAAGGCCTGAGATGGGGATGACCCTGGATTTCCAGGGGGCCTGGTGTCATCACCAGGTCCTCATGAGAGAGGAGGGTCAGAGTCAGAGGTGGAAGAGGCTGCGCTACTGGCTGTGAGGATGGAAGAAGGGGCCACAAGCCAGGGATGTGGCCCCTCTGGAAGCTGGAAAAGGTCAGAAATGGTTCTCCCTGGAGCCTCTGGAAGGACCAGTCCTGCTCACCCCTGGGTTAGCCCATGAGACTTATGTAAGGCTCCTGATCTCAGAACTGTTAGAGAATAAATGTGTGTGGTTTAAGCGACAAAGTTTTGGTGATTTGTCACAGCAGCTGCAGAAACACACACACGGGGTCTGAAATCGAGCAATGTCTTCAGAGCTCCCAAGTTCTTCAGCAGGGCAGGGGTACCATGTGTAGGCGGAGGGACTTCATGGCAGTGGCCTCCACAGGCCTGGGAAGTGAAGGGACATGGGAGTGCTGTGCCTGGAGGAGCACCCACCGACCTCCCAGCACCCCTGAGCCCCTACCCAGGGCTGAGTGAGTTTGGCAGCCTTGGGCCAGGCAGTTCCACTCTGGGACTCAATTTCCCTTTCTATTAAGGGGGGATGATGATACCACTTACCCCATGGAGTTTTATGGGGGGCTAATATGGGAGCCCCTCCCAGCCAAGGTGGAACATTCTTCTTGAGGCAGGTAACAGTCCCTGGGAGTGGGGGTGTAGACTCTCACCCCTCCCAGCCTCCTCCTGCCACTTAAAATACAGAAAACAAAGTTGGGGTCACTTACCTAGGGGTGTAGAGTGGACCCTCACTGTGGTCAGGGCCAGTGGTTCTACCCAGGTGACCCTGCACTCCAAAGTAGCCTTCGTACATGAAGCCCCATCAGCTGCAGAAGGGCGAGCTGGGAAGGCCCCACCTTACAGCTCAGCACACTGGGGTTCCTCAGTTCCACATTTCAGAGGCAGTGACCCCCTGCACCTTTCTTACTGAACCTTGCCAGCTCACTTCCAGGGTTCTGGTTTGGAACAGCGGTGTTGGCAGGTGCCCAAGGGGCACAACCCTAGGGTTCGGCGCAGAAGGAAAACGCCAACCACCTGCTTCTCTTTCTAAGTAGGTGTATTTTTTTAAATAACTTTCAAGATACACGTATTTTTTCCTTTAAAAAAAGTCAGAGCAGTTTTGTTCAGTTTTGTTGCTGGTCATCCTTGTGGTCCCGAGCCCCCCCGCACTCAGGGTAGGGACTGCTGGCCTATCTGGTGGGGCCGAGACCCCGGCTGAGCGGCTCTACCCGGTCTTTACACAGATCATGCAGGGCTGTGTGTAAGCTAATGTCCATTTATTTCAAAGCAGTAATAATTTAAAATTATAAAAACCTTTCCGCTGTTCGACATGTAGAGGGTGAAGTTGGAGACAGATGAGACGGGGGATGCTGGGGACACCTGGGGGCGACATGCGCCCTGCACACCTCTATGCCCAGCCCTTCAAGAGAAGTTCCTGGGGGAGCGCCAGGCTTCCTCCACAACCTGGAGGCAGTGAGTCCTCCGAGCCTCTGCCCACAGGTGGGGGCACAGCTGGCACCAGAGTCCATGGGAACCACGGTGGTATGAGAGCCGAGATGAGTAGGGGGCACCTCCTGGGCTCCAGGACGTCGGTGTCCCCATGCCCGCCAGGCCTGGGCTGGCCGGGGTCCTGTGCTTAATCTGGGGACTGGCAGGGGGGACTCAGGAGTTGCTTGCTGGGTTCTCATTGCTGGGCGAGCTGGAGGAGGAGGAGGACGACGAGGAGGAGAAGCTCACCCCAGTGAGGCCTGGGGGGTTGGTGGCCGTGTTCTGTCCTGTGAGGCTTTTTCGGCAGACGGGGCAGCTGTCATGCTTTGTGAGGACAGAGTGGGGAGAGGGAAGCAGTTCAGAGGCTGGCGGGGGGCAGGGGTGACGCAGGCCCTGTGGCCTTGGCCCCCTGCCTGCTCACCTGCTCCAGCCAGGGCACGATGCAGCCATCATGGAAGAGGTGGTTGCAGGGCAGCTGCCGCACGTGCTCACCCAGCTCATAGTCGTCCTTGCACACGGGGCACTCCAGCCCAGAGCCTGTGGGAAGTGGGGAACCCCTGTGACACCCCCAACCGAAGGTGTCCCACTGGGGAGTCTGCTCCTCCAGGGCCACCTTGGACCCAGGGGAGAGAGGGAGAGAGGCTGTGTCCTGAGTCCCGTGTCCCAGGGGAACAAAGGGGACCCTGATAAAGCCTCCCCTTCAAGCTGACCTTTAGTCCAACAGAAAAGTCTGAAGGAAAGTATCTTGAAAAGAAGCTGGGTGACTAAGGGCCACGTACCTACGTGTTCCTCAGTGACAGGGATGGTGGGGAGGGCCTGGATTTTCTCTTTGTCTGCGGGCGGGGGGCCCGTGTTTTCAAACTGATTGAGGAGCTGAAAGACAAGAGGCCAGAGTGCAGGAGCTCGGTCGGCGGGCGGGGCCCCTCGCCCCGCAGGACTCTGAAATGCAAGGCTGGGTTACCTGCAAAAGCACCGAGGCCGAGTTTGTTCTGGTTCCCCAGAACCCCCACTTGGGGGTCAGAGGTCAGGTACCCCATGAGGCCCATTCGTGGGCCCAGTCCACTGTTTTGCTCATCTAGTCTCATCTCCTCACAGCCAGGGCGGGAAGACTGCACCCTGGGGCTGAGGGTCCCCCCCAGGGGCTCACACAATCCTGCATCCTACGGGGCATCAGCTAGAACCACGGGGCTGATCCCGCCAGAGACACAACACTCAAAGGGATCGTTGGCAAGCAGCTCTGAAAGTGGCAACGTTCCTGCCCCACAAGTACCACTGAGATCACAGCGAACACCCATCTCAGGACAGGCTGGGGAGAACATGGAATACCACATGAGACAAAGCCAAGACCCGCAACACCAGCACAAAGTTTCCTGCTCCACAGTGGTCCTATGCCTGCAGAAAGCGTTTGGCTGGTGTACCCCAGGCCCAGGATGAAGTTACGGGGAGGTGGGGAGCTGGGAAGCAAAGTATTCACGTCAGAGACGCGCTCTACCAGGAACATACTCCACAGTCCTCTCAATGATCCAGCGGGGTGTGGGCCCGTCAAAACCCCTAGTCCCATCTGAAGGGAAGACAAGATGCCCCTAGTACCACCTGGGGAGACCCACCCCATACCTGCGTGATGATCGCATCCAGCCCGTTGGCCCCCCAGGCGTAGTCCATCGGGTTTGAGTGCAGGACACCCCTGAGCAGAGACGTGTGGGGTTCAAGTGGCAGAGGGGCTAGGTAGGGCTTGGGGGACCCGCCCACCTACTCACCAGGGTCCCAAGCCCAGGTTGGGGATGGTGGCTGGAGTGATGATGCCGTTGACCAGCTGCTGGATGATCCTGGAACACACCAAGGCCAAGCATGCGGTTAGCGCTTTCCCGGTGCAAGGGCACCCAGGAGGACACACGGCAGATTGGAGCCCAGCTTCTAAACACACGGCATTTAAAAGGTGTGCTTTCAACCAGTGAGATTTGTGGTGAGAAACAAGAATGAAACATGAGAGGGACCCAGAGAGGCATCTCTCTCTCGATGAATTCCAGGCCAGAATGCCCCAAGGCCAGGATGGCACCTATGGCCATGTCACCATACCCAACTTCATGATACAACCTGGGTAACACCCTGGAGGTCATGAGAGCTGTGGGGTCAGCCCTGCTATCCCCAGAGCCCAGGGTCAGTGGGACCTGGGTGCCACTCAAACATGAGACAGCTGGAACACTAGTGGTGGACTGGGCCTCCAGCTCACAGTGAGGAAAATGGATAAGCTCCATGTGGGTTCAAGCCCATCGCAACACGGGTGCTTCTCCGTGCATAGTCAAGGCCATCTCAGAGACGTGTGAGAAGCCTAGCCCCACCTCCTCTGGAGGGATGAGGACTGCAAGAAATGTTGTTTTTATTCTGAGTCCTTCTCCTGTGCTGTCCACAAGCTAAAATGAAGCCGGTTGTTCTGGTGACAACCTGCACGTGGGAGGGGCTGGGGCGCTGCTACAGGGCAGGGTTTCGAAGAACTGCCCGCCAGCTGCAGCTCTGGGACAAAGACCTGAAGGTGAACCAGCCATGCCCAGGCCAATGAGACCCTGCTCAAAAGGATGATGGAGACACTCAGTGGACACGAGGACCCCTAGCTCTGTCCAGGTCCTTGAGCCACACTTCAGCTCCCTCACCCCCCAGCCCAGCCAGGGCCCCAACCCCCACCTGCACCACCCCATTTTGCACAGTAGCCTTGGCTAGCTCTGCCAGAACCCAAGTGGGAACTACCCTGCCCAGAGACAGCACCCACAGCTCTGCACCAAAAAAATCTAGATGGGCAGGCTATTGCTCTGCCTGAGTGGGGTGCAACAGGCTGGAAGCCCCCAAGAGCAACCCACCCGCCAGCCACACCTAGCCCCCTCACCCTTCCAGCGTGGGGACGCCTTCGTGCCGGCTGGGGGCCCGCCTCGGGGTGAGGCGGGCTCGGGGCTGCCGGGCGCCATACCGGTGCCGAGACTGCTGCTCTCTCTCCCGCCGGCTCTCAGGGTCCCTGCCATTGTCGGCCAGTGCCCCTGGGGGGAACGTGGGGATCTCAAAGCTGTCGTCAAAGATGCCGAAAGCAAACTGCCCGAAGTTCTGAGGCAGCATGAAATGGTACTGGTCCATGTTCTGCAG